CTGTGCGCGCGGGCGCGGCCCCCGGGTGGGCACGGGGGTGAACCGGGGAGCGCGGGGAGGGGGGGAGGCAAGCTAGGTGCGCTCGCGCCATATCTGCCATGGCGTCCCTCCCTCCAAATTTTCTCATTGCGATGATTTCTTCTCCATCCACAAACGTTCATCATAGCCTGCCCTGGGGACCTGTGGGGCAGGTGGGGACTGTGGGACTTGCGAGTGTGGACCCGTGGAACATGTCAGAGTTTTGCGGCCTGTGGGACCTGCGGGACCTGTGGGGCAAGTGGGGACTGTCCCACAAACTCCGAAATCGACGGTGTCCCAACGCACCATTCTAAGAAATGTTCAACATGGATGTGCTGTGTCTCAAAATGGGCGTTCTGTCGTCGACCTTGCAAAATATGTGGTGGGAGTGATATCGTGCAAAAAACCGAAATGTCGATGTCGCCCCAAAGCCGCGCTCAATTTTCTGCAGACTTGGGTTCCAGTGTGGGCGCGGCTCGCATTTTTCGCACGGAATTTCGTCGGCGCGCTGGGGGCGGAAACGTCGGTCCCACCTCGGCGCCATGCAGATTTCACCTGAAGTTGGCGTGTGTGTCAGTCACCAATTTGGGGGGCCCGCGGGGGTGGGCGAGTTGTCGTCCCTGCCACAGCACGGTGCGCACTTCGCTGGGGAGTGGCGTTCCCGCGCGAGCACGGCCCGTGGCTCGTTCGCCACCAAGTCGCATGAAACCGACGGCGGCTGCGGGGCCGGGCGAGAACGGAAGGGATACCGAAATCGCCCAAGCGCCGCGCAATTTGTGAGAGAAAATGGCAATGCTGTGCCAGCGCGGCGCGCGCTTCGTTTTCGTGGCCCTTTCGAAATGTTGCCGTTCCCGCCCCTGCGTGGCCCGGGTAATTATCCCTTCGCCAAGTCGTCGGAACCGGGGCCGCGGGCGAGTTGGGGACGCGTTCCAATCCCAATACCACGGTGTACTACAATTGGCCATCTCGTTGTGGGAGGGAGGTTTGGAATAGGCGGGGTCCTCTGATTCGCTCATCTCGCTAACTGGATCAGACGATATACTTATCCCACCCATCCTTTCCCATTGAGCTGGTTGTCCCTGTCCACCGGCGGGTGTGCCATCGGACCTGAGTCCCAACATGGCCGTGCGCAGTGCTATCTGGAAGGGGGCTGTGGATTTTGGAGAAGGACGACGCCTGCGAGGTGGTGCGTGACCAGGAGGATGAGCAGGAAGAGGGTGGGAACCCATGAGGGAGGAGGTGCAGCAGCAGGAACAGGAGCAAAAGGACCGGGGGAGGACGAGGCCAATGAGGAGAAGGCGGGGGAGAACAAACAAGGATAACATGATGGGGCGACAACGAGGGATACTCGGTTAGGGGGTCAAACGGGGGGCCTGCAAACGGACAACTTATAAAACATGATGGTGGCAGTTCAGACGATGCTCGCCAACGTCAGCTTCATTTTCTCATCCACATCTTGCGGCCAACGGTTATGAGATACGATGTTTGTCGCCGCGCAAACCTGTCCTGTCGCCTTCCCACGGCTAAGCCCTGCGGGGAGGCGGTGGCGCATTGAGGAACAGATACGATCGAGACGAGGGTATGGAAGGTAAAGAAGAAGAGGAGCAAGGGACGGCGAAGGTGGGTGGGTAGGTGGGAACGCGCGGTAGCGAGCCCGTTGAAGGGGGTACCAACGGCGCGGCGGGGCAGCTATGTCACCAGGGCAGGAGGGAGGGCCAACAATATGAGAAAGAGGAAATGGAGATCCTGGCGCCTCTAATTGGCGGACTGGTAGGCTGTAGCTGCCACGCTCTTAGGGTGGAGGCGGAGGGCTGCTGTGGCTCTTTTGCAGGCCCCAGCAATGAGGTCGCTCTTTTGGAGCGCGGAGAGGACCAGTCGCTCTGCACTCTGCGAACTCAAGGCGGTAGAGCAGACTGAACTCCATGGGCACAGGTGAAGGCGCGGCCTCAGCGGTGAGAACGAGCTAAGTGAATGCGGGCGGTGAATATAGCATGGCACGCGCAGCCTAAGCGCAGGTGGGCGGCTGGGTCAGTCGCAACAGCGTCTGCGTGCACCATTGTCCCCGCTATGTCCCCCGCCGCATCCACCCTCCCAAGCCCCGCCGTGCCCGTCTGTTTCAGAGGTGGAGGTCGTCGAGGAAATAGATGTAGATGGAGCAAACGAGGTAGGAGAAGCGGTGGCGAGGGTGCCGCGCCCATTCCTCAGTGGTAGAAGTCAACGCGGAGACCGCAGTAGATGGAGTAAACGAGGTCGGAAGAGAGGCTGGTGCGCATGACCTGTGCCAGACCTGTCTGTGCATCGGAGATGGATGTCGACGCGGTGGTCGACGTAGACGACGCCTTCGATGTCGGAGGGGTAGTTGGCCAAGGCTCTGCCTTCCTCCGAGGTGGCGTCGACGCGGGAGCTGGAGTAGGTGGTGCGTGCGAGGTCGACGGGGCGGTTGTCGCTCATGACCTTTAGTGGCTGTGTGGGGGGGGGATAGCAGCGCCTGTGGTCGGCGCCGGGCGCGCTGGCACCTCGCGCGGCTTCGCGCAGAGGCGAGGATGGCGATCGGCAGTGGTTAGGGGCGCCGTTGGGTGGCGCAGTCGTTGAGCTTGTCGAGAAATTGGTGGGCGAAACCGTTGGCCGCGGCGATTTCCTTCTGAATTGCCTCGGCCGTGTTGTAGATGACCTGCGGTTATCCTGCCATTGTGGCGAGGGTGTCGAGCTTGTCCAGGATGTCGTGGTGGGGGGGCCGGTAGTCGGTGATGGTGTCTGCGATCAACGCCTTCTTGATGCTTCGCATGCTGTTTGGATTGGGCGATGGTTCCACGAGCCCAAAGCTCGTTGCTGTTGTTGGTGTTGTTGTTGTTGTTGACGGACACGTTGAGTATTGTGACCTCGTCGCCCTCGCTGACGCTGATGGCGCCGTGGTAAAGGGAGTCTTCAAGCTTGGTGTAGTATGGATAGCGCATGGTGGCGCCCGTAAGGAAGGTGAATCTGCATGGATTTACCTTCCTGGGTGATCGTCGCAACTGGGGACCAGCCGGCGGGCTTCTGGGGCTCCACTTGCATGGGGGGGGGTGATTGGAAGTCGCGCCGGGCGTCGTAGTGCTGCTGGGCGTCGGGTCGGACGAGCTGGATGCTGTAGTGTGCGTGCGTTGTTCTCCTGCTGTGGATGCTTCCACTTCGGTTTTCAAAATATTGAGGTCGATATTGCATGTTGATTGTGTTGAGCTGTTTTCTTCGATGGTCGGCATGATAGGTGGAGCGTTGCACCTTGCGCGCAGCTTGGGGTCTGGGTTGAGTATGGTTTGAAAAGAGATGTGGAAGGCTGGACTGGATGTCACGGGCGAGGGTGCAATTGCTGGCATTGTGCTTGCCGTAATACTGCCGCTGCTGGTAGGCATGGTCGTGCAAGTCTCTTCTTTGTTGGTTGCAGAAGTCGACGCTGGTTGCGCTTTCTTTTTTCTTTTTCGGGGGGAAACAGAGCCCGCTTTGAACGAATCCCCCCGCGTGCCCGCATGCATGTCAGCCCGCGCTGGCACATCTGGACAGCGAGCAAAAACAGCATCAACCACGCCACAACTGCAGCAACGGCAGCCAGCACTGCACGCCTGTGCTGAAATTGACGTTCAGGATGTTGTAGAGTACAAAGTTGCACACGAAATTGATGGTTTGGTAAATGTTAGTAATCTCCATTCATATTGACCAAGCGAAGACCATATCCATGGACAGGCGATCGTCGAGGAACCGCGGCCAGGCACGACATCTGCCGTGATCGCTGGAGGGAGCGCGGCCGACGCGTGCCTCAACGCAGCGCGGCTGGCACGACGGCTGCTGGACCCCGAGCAGATCCGACAACACACCGGCACGCTCCCCCCTCGCAGTAGCTCTGCCTGCCGAGGGGAACAGTGGCCCTGGCGCGTGCCTCGAGCAGGGTCTCCCTTCGCAGCCTACGCCGACGGACAGCGTGATGCCGGAGGGCACGGGCACTGCGTGGAGAACCTGCTACCTCTGTAAGCTCACTTCGGGCAGCCTCTCTGCCCCTTGGTGCAACACCAGCTCTTCTTGTCCTCGCTCCATCCGGCCTCCCAGTTGGAGTAACCTGCGTCACAGTCATAGGGCTTAGATGTGGCCTCGACGCATCCCATCTGCTTCTTCGAGCAACACCACTCCTTCTTGTCCGGCGACCAGCCAGCCTCCCAATTCGAATGCCCAGCGTCGCAGTCATACGGCTCGGAAGGCGGGGCCGCTGGCGTCGCCGTCTCTGGGCATCCTTTCTGCTCACTGCTGCAACACCACGCCTTCTTGTCTGCGGACCAGCCCGCCTGCCAATTCGAGTGCCCCGCGTCGCAGTCGCACGGCTTGGATGTCGTCTCCACGCAGCCCATGTGCATGTTGGAGCAGCACCAGCCCTTCTTTTCTGCAGGCCACCCTGCTTCCCAATTCGAATACCCGGCCGCGCAATCGCACGGTTCGGACGTCGCGGTCAACGGAGGCAGGGCCACAGGAGCTGCCGGTGGCGGAGGCGGTGCCACACGTGCGGGCGGCGGCGGGGGCGGCGCCACTGGCGCCGGCGGCGGGCGCGGAGGCGGCGGGGGCGGGGGCGGCGGCGGATGCGTCGTAGGGCACCCCCTGCCAGCCTGCAAGCAGCGCGTGACCTTCTTGGACACCTCCCAAGACGGCGGATCGCCCTGGGCGCAGCCGACCTTCTTTTCCACGGTCGTCACCGGCTCCAGCGGCGGGGGCGGCGGCGGCGGGGGGGGGCGGCGGAGGCGGCGGCGGCGGTGGTGGGGGCGGAAGCGGATCCTCCGCGGTGGTTTTCTCGGCCGTGGTCGGAGCATCAGGCGGAGGCGTCGGCGGCGCTGCCAGCACTGGTGGTGGTGGAGCAGTGGTGAGAACCGCGGTGGTGGTCGCTGTGCTGGTTGAGCTCATCAGGAACCAGCCGAGCAGCAGGAGCAACAGCAGCGACAGTAGCAAGGGGATCAGGCAGAGGCAGC